ATCTGCCCATCCTCCCCAACCTGCCTCTGACCGGTGACCCTACATGTCCCCTAGGGGCCAAAGGCGAGGAGTTGCGAGGCGGTTGACTGAGTTTGAACCTGGCCATCTGGTGGCGGGTGGTCACTTTCGCTGAGGCTCAGTTTCCTCATATGGAAACAGGGATAGTGAGCTGGCTACCGCCGGGGTGGTCGCCCGAGCGCAGTAAAGAGGCGCTCGGTAAGCGCTTGGCGCGGGCTGGCCCGCCAGGCGCGCGGTGACCGGTGCTCTGGTGGTTCTGCCCTGGGCCAGTTCGGCTCGCTGTTCAAGCCCTACGTCCGATACTGCATGGAGGAGGAGGGCTGCATGGAGTACATGCGCGGGCTGCTGCGCGACAACGACCTCTTCCGGGCCTACGTCACGGTGAGGGCGGCTGGCCGGTGGGCAGGGGCGCAGGATCACCCGCACCACGAGGGCGTGGGGCGTGGGGCGTGGTCAGGGGCGTGGTCAGGGGCGTGGCTTGTCCCGAGCCCCACTCCCGCCTCCTGTCCGCAGTGGGCTGAGAAGCAGCCGCAGTGCCAGCGGCTGAAGCTGAGCGACATGCTGGCCAAGCCCCATCAGCGGCTCACTAAGTACCCGCTGTTGCTGAAATCGGTGCTGAGGAAGACGGATGAACCTCGCGCCAAGGAGGCCGTCGTTACCATGGTAACCGACATGGTGGGCGTGACCCTCCGCAGCCCTCTGGCCCTCCACGACCCCGGGTCTGAAGCCCCATCCCCTGCCCCTAGATCGGCTCGGTGGAGCGCTTCATCCACCACGTGAACACGTGCATGCGGCAGCGACAGGAGCGGCAGCGCCTGGCCGCCGTGGCGAGCCGCATCGACGCCTACGAGGTGGTGGAGGGCAGCAACGACGAGGTGGACAAGGTGGGCGCGTGTGCCTGTGGGGAAGGGCAGACAGGGAGTCTCACTCAAGGACTCCCAGCCGAGATGGGGAGTCAGGCCTTGACCTCCCCTGTACCTCCATCCTCTATCCTCCGCCCCCCAGCTCCTGAAGGAATTTCTGCACCTGGACCTGACAGTGCCCATCTCTGGCGCCCCCCTGGAGGAGACCCGACAGCTGCTGCTGGAGGGGAGCCTGAGGATGAAGGAGGGGAAGGACAGCAAGGTGGCTCCAGGGCTGCCCCCAGCCCCAGGGCCGAGGCCTCACCCTCTTGTCTCCTGGGCCCCCGTCAGTGGTTCTCAGCCAGCTGGGTGGTGACTCAAGAGCCAGTGACTCTGTGGCCATAGGGAGGGATGATTATCTGCCTGCAGTTGACTCTTTACAACCTACAGCAGCAGAGTCATAGCCCAGGGAGGGGCTGTCTTGCCCACTGAGGGATTCCGGGTGGGAGGGAGGGGCACATTCCATAAGTGGGCCAGGAACCCTGTGCCTGGCTGCTGTGCTGTTAACCCTGCAGGCACTGGGTAGCCAAGAGCCTGCAAACCGTGATTTTAAAAGCACCTCCCTTTTCTTTCTAATATAAACTTTTACTGAAATAAATCATAAATATATATCTCAGTGAAAAAGAACCATCTTCCCCTTCATTTTAATTTTACTTGAAGGTTTACTAGGGGATGGGGGGAGTGAGTGCTCTTGGGGGGCTGTGGTGCCTGATGGCTCTCCTGCTCCACCCCAGATGGACGTGTACTGCTTCCTCTTCACGGACCTGCTCTTGGTGACCAAGGCAGTGAAGAAGGCTGAGAGGACCAAGGTCATCAGGCCACCACTGCTGGTAGACAAGATTGTGTGCCGGGAGCTGCGGGACCCTGGTGAGGAGCCCTGGCCCCTGCTCCTGGGTGGGGGCTGTGGTGGACAGGGACTGTCGTCGTGGCTGACAGACTTGGGCCTTCCCTAACCAGGCTCCTTCCTTCTCATCTACCTGAATGAGTTTCACAGTGCTGTGGGGGCCTACACATTCCAGGCCAGCGGCCAGGCCTTGTGCCGTGGCTGGGTGGATGCCATTTACAATGCTCAGGTGAGAGAGTGGAGGGTGAGAGCAGGATGGACTGTGGGAGCCACTGATCACAGCACATTCTTCCCCCACACACCTCCAACCCCTACATGCAGAACCAGCTCCAGCAGCTGCGTGCACAGGAACACCCGAGCAGCCAGCAGCACCTGCAGAGCCTGGTAGAGGAGGAGGATGAACAGGAGGAGGAAGAGGAGGAGGAGGAGGAGGAAGGAGAGGAGAGTAGCACTTCGGCTGCCAGCTCCCCCACCATCCTGCGCAGAAGCAGCAACAGCCCAGACTCCCAGCACTGGTATGTTTGCTCACGACCACCCAGCAAGTCACAGCAGGGCAGGCATTCCAGCCCAGGACTCCTGACCCCAAGGCCCAGCCACCTTCCCTTCCTCTGAATGGTCTCATCTTGTAAACCCAGGGGTGTGTGTGTGTGTGTGTGTGTGTGTGTGTGAGGGGGGCTCTATCTTCCACCAGAGTCCAGGTGGGCCGGGCAAAGAGCTTTTGAATTGCTTGCCAGTTCTGATCTGTTAGCGGTAGCTGTCTGGAGCGCTGAGCTGAGGATTGATAGAGTGCATGCAGTCTCATCAGGGAAGAATGCTATGATCCATTACTGACGCCTCTTGTGGCCATAGGGGTCAGAAGGTCTGGCACATGTACCCCATGCTGCCATCTCTGAGCCTCGAGCTCCTGAGGGCAGAGGCTGCAGACCTCTGTGCATTGTCCAGCACAGGCTGCCCCTGGCCATGTGCTTTCCTTTAGCCAGGCTGACTCTCTTCCCGGCTCTGCAGTGCCTCAGACGGCTCCACGGAGACCCTGGCCATGGTAGTGGTGGAGCCTGAGGAGGTGTTGTCCTCTCCTGAGTTTGATGGCGGCCCCTTCAGCTCCCAGTCAGATGAGACCTCTCTCAGCACCACTGCCTCATCTGTCACGCCCACCAGCGAGCTGCTGCCCCTGGGCCTGGTGGATGGCTGCTCCTGCTCCATGGATTCTGCCTATGGCACCCTCTCCCCGACCTCCCTGCAAGACTTTGCAGCCCCAGCCCCTGTGGCGGAGCCAGTGCCCCAGCTCCCTGAGTTACCACGAGCCCCTTCCCCACCGCCATCGCCCCGCCTCCGCCGCCGCACCCCTGTCCAGTTGCTGCCCTGCCTGCCCCACCTGCTCAAGTCCAAATCTGAGGCCAGCCTCCTCCAGCTGCTGCCAGGGGCTGGAACCCATGCGCCATCCCCAGCCCCCAGCCGCAGCCTGTCAGAGCTCTGCCTGGCCGCTATAGCCCCAGGCGCTAGGACTCAGGGCTGCTCTCTGGAAGCTGGGCCCAGCTGGGATTATACTGGGGCATCTAGCCCTGGCAGCAGCTCCAAGCCATTAGAGCCTGAGAACAGGGCCAGCTGCTTGGCCGAGGAGCCTGCAGGCCCCTCCAGGAGATGCAGAGAGCTGCCCTTAGGGAGCTCTCCCAGGATCCAGCCGGACGCCCCCACCGGGGCCTCTGCCCAGCACAGGAAGCTGACACTGGCCCAGCTCTACCGAATCAGGACCACCCTGCTGCTTAACTCCACGCTCACTGCCTCGTGAGTGGCCTGGGATAGAGGGCAGGTGGTGCAGCGTGTTGGCATTGGGGGCACAGTCATGACTGGGAGGGTGGGTATTTGGGGGTGGTGATCACAGGGGCAGCCAAATCCTGCCACAGTGCCTGGGTGCTGGCATCTACGGCAGACAGCAGCGAAGGGGCCTGCCTGAGGGTCACGGTAGGGAGGAGAGGGTGCCAGAGCCACCCTCTGAGCCCGTCAGCCAAGGAAGGACTGTCTCTCCCCACCCTGCAGAGAGGTCTGAGCAGAGGGAGGCCCCCAAGAGTGCCATTGACCAAGGGACAGCAGACAGCATGCCTCCTGGGGGGTGCCAGCACCTGCTTCAGCTGCTGCCTCCTGTGTGCATGAGCCGGAGCCTGGGCAGGACCTCTGCACCACCCGGGGCCAATTTGCACTTTGCCAGACCGGATGGAGTGGAGGAGGGCCCACTAGAGCCCGCCGCCCAGGCTACGGCAGCCCCCACACACCTGCCCAGGCAGTCCCTTGTGCCCTGCTCCCTGAAGTCACCAGCTCTTCTGGGCTAAGCTCTCAGCTGCCCTTCCCACTTGCACCTTCATCTGGCCTCCAGTGGGCCATGCTCCTGCCCTCTCCTCACCCTTCATAGGTCCCACTGGCCACCCCAGGCTTGGGCTGGGCTCTGTGTAAGTTGCATATTTATTGAGCTTTTGATTCTTTTATAAAGACTTGTACATACTCCACTGGAAAGAGTCCTTTGCTTTTGGAGGCTACCCCCTTCCTGGCTCAGGTGCACTTGGGCTCGGGTAGAGCTCAGGTTGGGCGCCTTCCTGTGCCCCTGTGCCACTCCATCTGCAGTGGGGCACCAGTGGAACACACTTAGGAGGCAGCTGTGAAGTGGGGGGGGGGGTCTGGGATGTCACCAGACCAACACCCCAGGACTCTTTCCCTGCCTCAGCCATGAGCTCTGCCACTAGACCCTCTTGTGGGGTGCTCCCTCAGACTCAGGACTCAGTCCTACTCTGGGGAAGGTGGGTCTCCCATCTGGGTCCCTTCTGGTACTTTAGGTCCAACAACACCCCCTTCCCCCGCCATGGCTGGGGGTGCTGGGGCCCAGAGAGGGGAAGTCACTTCCCCTGGCTCCACCTGGTTCTCAGGGGTGGTGCTAGACTCAGGGCTGGGGACTGGGATGCAGCTCTCCTGTGAGCCTGGCTTAGCCGCAGTAGGCAGTGGGGCAGTTCCTGCCTGGCACTTCCCGCCGCCTCTAGGGCCTGGCCACCAGGGCCAGGTGAGCTAAGGTGCGCAGAGCGGGCATGCAGGCTGGGGGACTCTGTTGGCTGGGGCGGCGACCGTCGAGCTCCGCCCTGTCTCCCAGGCGGGCTTTCCTCGACAGGGCGGGGCTGGCCTTGTGGCTTGGGCTGGGCAGAGCGCGTGGAGCTGGGAAGGCCCTGGGGCGCGGACGCCCCCCACCCCTGTCCCAGGGCCCAGTGCCCCACAAGGCCATGAAGCCGCGGCCCGGGGGCTGCGCGGCAGCTGCGGTGAGTGGTGCCGCGGGAGGCGGGGGATAGCTCTGAGCCTTGCCCTCTGCCGGCTCTGAGGGCAGGGGCAAGGAAAGGGCCCCCAAGGGAGCGAGTCTACTTGCCTGGCCCCGCTGGGGGCTGAGCGGCCGCCCCTTCCGACCTAGATAGAGGCTCCGCCTGGGTGGGGCCCTTCCGCTGAGAGGAAACCCCTCCCAGGGGCCAAAGGGGTCTGGGGGCCTAGGCGGGAAGGCTCTGTCCCCTACCTCACAGAAAGCATGGGTGGGGGAGGGGCGCTGCCAGATTCCTGTGGTGGAGGCTGGCAGGAGCCTCCCCTGCTCCAAAGCCTGGTCTGTGAACGGGGGAAGGAAGTGAGTCTCGCCCGCCACTCATGTGGGCAAATGCTGGGGCCTCTGAAATGGAGGAGCCCAGGCAGGGAGAAGTCCCCAAAGGGCAGCCACCAAGCAGCACCTTACCCCAGGCACTCTTCCTGGTGCTGCTGGGTGCCCAGGCCCAGGGCAGCACTCCGAGCCCCAGGTGTGACTGTGCCAGTGATTTCCAGAAGAGCAATGGTGCGTTTTGTTGTAGGGGCTGTCCAGCAGGTAAGTGGGTGCAGGGCCGGGAGGGGCATGGGGGCAGTTGGAGTAGGCAGCGCTGGGGAGAGGTGGCAGGCAGGCAGGCTGGGCTGGGCTGGGAGGGAAGCAGGGAGCCAGAGGGAGGGAAGGAGGGAGGGAGAGGTTGGGGAGCAGGTTGGGTGGTGCCGAGCTGCCCCCTTTGATCATCTGACCCCTATTGGGTTCCACAGGGCACTACCTGGAGGCCCCCTGCACAAAGCCCTGTGGCATCTCCACCTGCCATCCGTGCCCCCAGGGCACCTTCTTGGCCAGAGACAACCACCATAATCCTCACTGTACCCGCTGCCAGGCCTGCGATGAGCAGGGTGAGGGGCTGCCCAGTGCTTGGAGGGGGGCTCTTAAGGACAAGCCCTGACCGAGATCTTTCTGAAGGAAGTTGCTGGCTTGGGCCCAAACTTTGGGTGTGAGGACCCTGTGCCCACCCTCCACTGAACACTCCACCCTGATCCTGCTGCAGGATGCCCTGGCCCTCTCCCTTCCTGGTGGTCTTCTCAGCCTCTCTCTGGGGGTTTCCCTGCCTGTCTCTCTGGCCTATCCCTGTCTCCATTCTCTGGGGATCCTCCCCTGCCTCTGTGTGAGTCTCTGGCCCTGACCACCTCTGCACTCCCCATCTGCCTCACCCCGCCAGCCTCCCAGGTGGCCCTGGAGAACTGCTCAGCAGTGGCGGACACCCACTGTGGCTGTGAGCCAGGCTGGTTTGTGGAGTGCAAGGTCAGTCAATGTAGCAACAGTTCACCCTTCCACTGCCGCCCATGCCTAGACTGTGGGACCCTGCACCGCCACACACTGCTGTCCTGTAAGTACCCCCATCCTGGCCTGTCTACTCCCAAACCCCTCTCCCTGCCCTGCTCCGTGCTGACCCCTCTCTTGGACTGCAGGTTCCAGCAGAGACACTGACTGTGGGACCTGCCTGCCTGGCTTCTATGAGCATAGTGATGGCTGCGTGCCCTGCCCCACGTAACTTCCTGGCTGTCCTGGGCCAGAGGGAAGGGAGGCTGGGAACAGGGTGGGGGCCTCAGGGACAAGTGCTGCTGGTTCAGGGATAGAAGGAGGGGACAGGGAGGAGGGAGGTTGGCCCTGTGGTGGGTGGGTCCTGTTTCGGGCAAACTTTGGACAGTAAAAAGAAATCTGGATTCACCTTATGCCAGAGAAATAAGGGGGCATATCTTCACTTTCTGCCAGGATTGCCATTAGTAATTGGATTGCATTGGGCAAGTTCAGAGAGGTGACCTCTCTGCTGTGTGGTTTCCCCCTCGAAACACGGGGATGCTATTAGGGATTCTTGGGGCAAGGATACGGGATAAGGCACTTTGTTTATCCATTCAAGCCTTTTTTGAGCCTCTGCCATCTTCCAGACACTGTTCCTAGGAAGTGTGGATACGACAGGGAACAAAGGAGGCAAAAATCCCTATCCTTGGGCCGGGCGCGGTGGCTCACACCTGTAATCCCAGCACTCCGGGAGGCCGAGGCAGGCGGACTGTTTGAGCTCAGGAGTTCGAGACCAGCCTGAGCAAGAGCGAGACCTCCGTCTCTACTAAAAATAGAAAGAAATTAGCTGGACAACTAAAAATATATAGAAATAAAAATTAGCCGGGCATGGTGGCGCATGCCTGTAGTCCCAGCTACTCAGGAGGCTGAGGCAGAAGTATTGCTTTTGCCCAGCAGTTGGAGGTTGCTGTGAGCTAGGCTGACGCCACGGCACTCTAGCCCAGGCAACAGAGTGAGACACTGTCTCAAAAAAAAAAAAAAAAAAAAAAATCCCTATCCTTTTGGAGTTGACATTCTAGTGATTCTTAATTTAGTCTAGAAGAAGGTCAGTGCATAGTAATAGTGATTATTGTTGTTGGGTACACATTGACATTTCAGTAGTACTTCAGGAACATTCTTGGGTAGAGTAAGGAGAGAGGTGTGGGGAGGGAAGGGCCTCCAGGGTGGAGAAGATGTCAGGCAGTCCTGGGTAGCCCCACCCTCCTGTCCCGTGTACTCCTTCAGCCCGTCTCCCCTCCCCTGCAGGAGCACCCTAGGGAGCTGTCCTGAGCCCTGTGCTGCCGTGTGTGGCTGGAAGCAGAGTAGGTGGTGTGCTGGGAATGCACGCGGGAGAGCTGGGATGGCCCAAGGGGAGGTGGGTGGTAGCAACCACCTGATACCCACTACTGCTCTTTCAGTGTTCTGGGTCCAGGTGCTCCTGGCTGGCCTGGTGGTCCCACTTCTGCTCGGGGCCACCCTGACCTACACGTACCGCCGTTGCCAGTCTCACAAGCCCACGGTTGCTGGTAAGTACACACACACACATACACATACACACACATACATACACACACACATACTCTCCCAGGGGCCTGGGGTCAGGATGAGTAGCTCAGAGCCCACTAAACCCTGATAGGGAAGGGGAAACTAAGGCAGGGAGTACTGGGTACAGAGGAACCCAAGAGGAGCTGGACCAGCACCCAGATCCAGGAGGCTTACCTGGTTGCTGACCAGACTCTCTTTGTCTTTGACAGCAGATGAAGCTGGGACAGAGGTTCTGACCCCACCGGTAAGAATCTCAATATGTGCTGGGAAGAGGGTGAGCAGTGTCTGGGCTGCCTCTGGAGCCGGGAGGTTGGGCTTTATAACTTGTGATCCCCGGTGCTTAGCACGGTGGCCAGCACGGGGTAGACATAACAGACAACACTGAGTTATCAGTGGCTGAGACCAGCACAGTGCCTGCCCTCAAGGGGCTCTCAGGCTGCTGGGGTTCAGATGAGTACACAGGTGCTAACAGTTCAATGGGAGGGGGTGCCCCCATGGGATTGGGGGAACAAAAGGAAGGTAGGAGGGGCAGGTTTTCCAGGCAGAGGCAAGAGCTCTTCTGCTGGGCCATGGTGAGAGAGCAGGGATGATGAGGGGAGGTGGTGTTCGGGGGGCATCTGCCAACTGAGCCAAGGACTGTCCATTCCTAGTCACAGACTGCCGTAAAGGGGCCTTACTATGCAAGCGGGGTTGACCTGACGCTTTCTTGGCTTCCAGGCCACCCACCTCTCCCCCTCGGACAGCGCCCACACCTTTCTGGTGCTCCCCGACAACAGTGAGGTCTGCACTGTCCAGTTGGCAGGCAACAGCTGGACCCCTGGTTCCCCCCAGACCCAGGAGGCACCCCGTCCACAGGTGACATGGTGCTGGGACCAGTTGCCCAACAGAGCTCTTGGTAAGTGACCTCAGTGTCCTGAGGCCTTGATCCCATTCTCTTACGTCTGAGGTGGGAAATTGTGCTTTTCTGCCTTGTCCACTTTCTGTTCCCTAACTGGCCAGTCTCCCTGCCCAGCCTGGCAGGCTTGCTGCCAGGGGGTCCTGCGTGCCCCTGACCCCGCCTCCCGGCCGCGGTCCGCATTCCCCATTGGCTCTCTCTGGCCCCGCCCCCAGACCCTCCTCCAGCGCCTTCGCCAGCGCCCCCTGCAGGCTCGGCAGCCGCCGCGCTCCAGCCGGGCTCGCAGCTCTACGACGTGATGGACGCGGTCCCCGCGAGGCGCTGGAAGGAATTTGTGCGCACCCTGGGGCTGCGCGAGGCGGAGATCGAGGCCGTGGAGGTGGAGATCGGCCGCTTCCGCGACCAGCAGTACGAGATGCTCAAGCGCTGGCGCCAGCAGCAGCCAGCCGGCCTGGGCGCCGTCTATGCAGCCCTGGAGCGCATGGGACTGGACGGCTGCGCGGAGGACCTGCGCAGCCGCCTACAGCGCGGCCCGTGAGGCGGATGACCCCCCCGCCACCTCCGCGCTCCGGTGGCCCTTGCAGAAGCCCTAAGTACGGTTACTTATGCGTGTAGACATTTTATGTCACTTATTAAGCCCCTGGCCCGGCCCTGCGTAGCAGCGCCAGCGGCCGCACCGCGCTCGCCCCAGAGCTCCGGTTATGGCGAAGCAGCAGGAGCGAACGTGGGCAGCGGTGAAGAGGTTGCTCCGCTGCTGCTTGGCCTGAGCTTGCCTGAGCCCTGGGTATTAAATCCATCAAGAAGAGCTGCGCTTGTCGTTCTGCCGGGTTGGGGGTGGTCAGCGGCCCGGGCTTTTCGAGGGGCCGGGGGTCTCGCCACCCCGGGTGCCCCCGCGGCGTTGCCTAGCTTGGCCGCAGCGCCCAGGCCTGCCCTCCCGCGTCTCCATGGCCCGGGTGCCCGGAGGCGCGCGTCGGCGAGTGAAAGCGAGCGTGAGCCGGGCGGCAGAGAGAGCTTTAATGCGGGTGCGAGCGGCGGGGCGCGACGGGGGCAGCGGTTGGAGACGCAGGTTCGGCCCCTCGTCCTCCACTCCACCAGGGCAGTGGAAGGGTCCGGAGCCAGGGGCCCGGCTGGGGGCCGGGCGCGGACCTAACCGGAGGGAGGCGGGGGCAAACGTGGGGCCCCAGGAGCGGCAACTGCGTCCCGACGGGCGGTCTTCATCGTTTCTGGTAAACAAATGACTGAGAGGAAAACGTCGGCGGGGATGGGAAATGCGGCCCGGGCTGGGGCTGAGCGCAGATCTGGGTCAGGGAGGGAGGAAAACCCCGTCCCCGAGCTCGGGGCCTGCCTCCGCCCAGGATGCGCCGGCGACGCGGGTTCCGGGGAGCGGGGGTGGGGGCCGCAGCCCAGCGCGCACTCCGCAGGAAAACAAAGTACCGCCCACAGGGCTGGGGAGAGCTCTGCACACTTTGACATTCGACCAACATGCAAATATGTGTTAAATCGGCATGCAAATAAGCAGCTTTTTTTTTTCTTTGCGTCAGCAGCTTGGGCACTTTTACTGCGGCGGCGGGCGCGCTCCAGCGTCAAGGGCTGGGGATGCGGGGGCCAGGGTGCTAGGGGTCAGGGAGGGATTCCAGCTCGGGAGGGGACAGTACTGCGACTCCCAGCCCTTGTGCCCAGGCCGGGACGGGGCGGGCGGGGGGGGGGCGAGCTCGCGAGGCTGTGGAAAGGAGGCCGTGACGTCTAGTACTTAGCGATGTCCCCCTTCTTCAGGATGACCTGCCGCTGCCAGGGCGCCAGCTTGCTCTCATCGTAGCCCAGTGTCCGCAGCTTCTCCGACTGCTCTTTCTCCCGCTGCAACTCCTCCTGCTTCTGCCGCTCCTCCTCTTTCCTGGAGAGGGGTTGGGGGCAGAATCCAGTGAAGCCTGGAGGCAGACACTGGGGCTGGCAGAAAGGGGACCCGGCACCAGGACCGCAGCCTGCCTGACCACTGGTGGCGAGCAGTGGGTTGAAGGCAGGCGCTGGGTTGCTGAGGGCAGAGGGCCTTTCCTGGGGGACGGACCGGGGTTATTGGGACACACCGGAACTGGGCAAGTGGGAAGCAAAGGTTGGGTTACTGGGGGCTGGAGGTGTTCCTGGAAACGGAGGTGCCGCGTCACTGTGTGAGGAGGGGTGTTACAGAGTGCAGGGGCAAGATTATTGGGGCCAAGACTTAAGTTACTGGGGAGCTGTCAGTCTGAATTATTGGAGACTGGGCTTGGGCTACTGGGGAGCAGAGGGACCATTTGATGGGGGACAGGGGCTGGGGAATTAGGGACTGGTTAATTAGAACATAGGGGTAGATCTGCTCTGTTGACAGGGTAGCAGCCAAGCATATGTGGCTGTTAAGCATTCGAAACATGGCTGGTACAAACTGGGATGTGCTGTAGGTGTAAAATACACACGGTATTTTGAAGACTTAGTTTTAGAAAAGGAGTATAAAACATCTCAATAATTTTTTTTCTTTTTGAGACAGGGTTTCATTGTTTCCCAGGCTAGAGTACAGTGGCATGAGCATAGCTCACTGCAGCCTCAAACTCCTGGGCTCAAGTGATCCTCCTGCCTCAGCCTCCTGAGTAGCTGGGACTACAGGCCCACACTAGGATCTTTTTTTTTTAAAGACTAGTCAAATGCAGTAGTGAGGAGGGGGGAGAGTAGTAGAACAAGGAATTCAATCTGTAACTGACTGTGAACAATCAAGTGAGATAACTCATTACCTTCGGACCAGCCCACACTAGGATTTGTTTGTTTGTTTGTTTTAATGTTTTGTAGAGATGGAGTCTCATTATGTTGCCCAGGCTGGTCTCAAACTCCTGGCCTCAAGCCACCCTCCCACTTCAGCCTCCCAAAGTGCTAGGATTATAGGTGTGAGCCACTTCATCTAACCTATAAATTTCATGTTGAAATAATATTTTTTGATATATTGGGTTAAATACAATATTACTAAAATTAAGTTCACCTATATCCATTTTTTCACTGTGGCTACTAGAAAATTTTAAATTATATATGTGGCTCACATTATATTTCTATTGGACAACACTGGGCTAGATTAATGGGGACAGAAATTAAGTTTTAAACTAAACAGACAAGGTTATTGATACTGGGGTTGGGTTAACTGTGCAGCAGAAAAGCTAGGTTAATAGAAGATGGGGACTGGCTAATTTGGAAGCAAGTTTATCAGAATGTAAGAGCAAGATTTTGGGAAACAGGGAGTAAGTTATTGGGGGACAGGGGTCTGGTGGCATTATCAGGAGCAGAGACGTTGTGCTCCAAGGGCTGAGAGACAGGATTTGCTCAGGATAGGGCTGGAGGAAGGGATAAGCCCTGTGACTGGGTCGGGGTAGGGGTGGCAGGCCCCGCACTTACCGCTTCTGCTCCCTGGAAGGAAAAAGAGACAGTGTTAGTTGGTGCCTCCATTTAAAGGACATGGTCAAGACACCCTGCCAGGCTAGCCTCTGCCTGACCCCCAGCTCACCTCTCCTCTTCCAGCTTCTTCCGCAGGAGGTCCCGCCTCCAGGCAGGCATGCTGGCCAGCCGGGCCTCCTCCTCCTCCTCCTGAAACACAAGCACAAAGCTTCAGGATCAGCAGGGTATGGGAGGTATGGGGCCAGACGGGGTACACCCCTAACCTGGGGGGACCTGGAGGAATCAGGGACAACAGGAGGCAGATGTGATCACAGGAAGAGCCTCTTTTGATGCCCTTCTATGGGACAAGTCAATAAAGGTGTCTGGTCATAGCCCCCTCGGAAGGGGGCCTCTTGCCCCCCAAGAACCCAGCCCCTGTGTCCTGGAGGAGGCACCAGAGAGATCAGAGCTCAGTGCAGCACAGGAGCAGAGAATGAAGTAGTTCAGCCCCAGAGCCCCTAAGCCTGATTCCCCACAGGGTAGGAGGACAGGTGGCCCCAGGCCTGTAACCTCTGGGCAGAGGCAGACATGGGTCCCCACACACCCTGTAGGCTCAGGGAGGTTCAGGCTGCCTCTGGCTCCCCTGTATGTGAAAGACCTTCTGGCCCATGCTTGCCCTCTCGCCAATGGAGTGGTCACCAGTTCTACAATTGTGGGGTTGCAATGACATGGGGGAGGGTGTCCAATGTAGGCAGCTTACAACAAAGAGATTTATTTCTTGAATGTTACAGGGGAGAAAGGGTCTGTACACATCACACAGAACACTGCACACGTGGCTCCCTTGACCTCAGCCAAGGAGGTAGCTGTGAACTCCAGCAGAAAACCAGACAGAGGGAGAGAGTGAGTGAGACCACACCATACTGCTCCAAGGTGGACTCACTGTCCCCCACTCAAAGGGTTGTCTGCTGCTGCCTGGCTCCACACAGAGCCCAGCAAGGCCAGAGGGGGACAGGTGGTTTGCTCTGTGCCATGCCCTGCCTCTCTTGGCCAAGGCCCCATAACCTGCCCTGATGGGACCCCAAAGGCTGACGTAGCCTGGTCCTGGGCATCCTGGGCTTTTTAAGGCCACCATCCTGGGTTCTTCCTGTGCATTTCTGGCCTCTAAAAGGCATGAGGCAGGCATCCAGGCCCAGGTTAAGGCATTTGAGAGTACATTCCGAATTCCGCTGCTCATATGTCAAACAGCTCTGCCTCCTTCTCCTTCCAGAAAGAGAAGCTGCGATCGATGTAGCGGCAGATGTCCTCGTTGCTGAATTCGCCCATCTCGGACACTAGCTCCAAGGGGTCTTCGGCGGCAGGGGCTTCGGAACCTGCAGGGTCCGAGGTCGGGGGAGGTGCGGCGGGCGGAGGCTGCGGTGCAGGGGCTGGGGCCTCGGGCTGGTCTTGTGGCCGGTCCTCCGTCTGAACTTCGTCGGTCAGCTCCTCCTCTTCTTTCTCCTCCTCTCCTTTCTTTTCCTCCTCTTCCTCCTTCCTGGCCTGTTCTTCGCGGGCCTGCTCAGCCTCCGGGCTGTCTCCGAAGAACTGGCGCCTGAGGTCCTCGAAACCGTCGCTCCAGCTGCGCCGGCCGACCTCCACCTCCTCGAGCACAACGCGGTGGAAGAGGCGGATGAGCTCCCACGGGTGGCTGCCCAGCCGGTCGAACATCTCGTAGCAAAGCAGGTGGCGGAACTTGCGCTCCTCCCGGCTCAGGCCCATCTCCAGCAGCTGGAAGTAGCCGAGCATGAAGAGGTCCAGTGTGAGGCTGTCGTAGCGCGGGGGCGCGCCGCCGTCCAGGGGCGGCAGGAAGTGCTCGGGCCAGTACAGGCCGTGCGCCAGGCCCGGGCCGCTCGGGAGGCGCCCTGGCACCTGTCGCAGCAGGCTCCGCCAGTGGCCCAGGAGCTTGCCCACTACCTGCCGCTGCTTCAGCAGGTGCCGCAGCCGCTCATCCGGGCCGCAAGCCGTGCTGTCGCTCGCCGGCTGCTGGGGGGCGTCCGCGGCCTCGGGGTCCGGGTCGGCGCCGGCGGCCACCACGCGGGGCAGCAGTCTGCGCAGGCGCGCCTGGGCGAGGCGCCCGGGGCCGCGGAAGGTCCACTTGCGCCAGTGCTCCAGGAAGAGGTAGACGATGCGCTCCTTGCGCATGTCGAGGTAGTCCTGCACGCCGCGCAGCTCGGTGGAGAGCGGCGGCCTGCGCGCCAGCTGCTCGGGTTCGGGCAGCGCCGCCTGGCGGGCCGGCGCCTCGGGCGCGCCCAAGGCGCTCGGGGGCTCCGCGGGGGCGCTGGGCTCGCCAGTGCCAGCCGCCACGTAGTCCTCCTCGAGGATGGGTTCGCAACCTGGGGCGCCGGCGGGCTGAGACAGCTTGCGGCGCGGGGCGTGCGCGGGCGCTGCGCCCTGGGCGCGCAGCTCGTAGGTGGCGCGGAGGTGTCGCACGGACACGCCGCACTCGAGGATCTCGCGCGCGACGGCTTCGCGGCACCAGCTGAGCGAGTGCGAGCGGCCCAGGCACAGTGGCCCTGGCCGACAGGGCGCATCCGGCAGCGGCGCCAGCGGCTGGCCCGTGTCGGCGGCCAGCAGCTCGGCCAGGTGCGCGGGCCGGCCGCCCAGCGCGGCCAGCAGCGTGGCCATGCTCTTGAGCAGCGTGGAGATCTTGCTGCACCAGGCCGGCAGGCTGGCAGCGCGGCCGTGCATGCGGCGCGGGTCGACGGTGAAGCGCGGCGCAGATAGGGCGGCTGAGATGGGCAGCAGCTGCTCCAGCTCCAGCTCCAGCTGCTCCAGGCGCGCCTCCAGCTTCTGCGCCTTGTGCAGCACCTGCAGGTTCTCAATTTGCTGCTCGATGCGGAGGATGTCGGCCTCGGTCATGAGCTCGCCGAAGGGCCCGAGGATGGCGTTGTGCTCGCGGGAGTACCTCCAGCCATCGCGGGGGTAGCAGCACGAGCTGGCGGCCGTCAGCTAAGGCGGGGAAGACAAGAGAGGGGAGGGAGGCGCGTCTCCCTCTGGCCCAGCTCCCGCAGTGGCGCCGGGGGACTTTTTGCATGTCCCAGGTGGTGTAATGGCTCCGCGGGGCTGCGTTTGCAGGGACAGGCCGCTCCTGGCCGGCGGGAGATTACGCTGGGGCGAGGCTTGGCTTCGGCCCGGGCCGCTGCTCCGGGCTCTGTGCAGTGTCCGCTTTGGTCGCTGGCGGGGGGCATAGCCGGTCGCTGGGCGCTGCTGCCGAGGCAGGGAGGGCAGGCCGGCAAACGGGGTCTCCACGCCTGGCCTGGTCGCTCATTACACCACTCAAGGAACATGCAAAAGGCATTGAAGCTGAGAGGCACAGTGGCCCTCCCACCCCAGCCAAGGCCTGCAATTGTGAGGCTTCTGCCCCCAGACTGCTGACCCCTTCTGAAGCTCCCCTGTGGCCCCAGGGCTCCCTGTCCCGTTGCCAATGTTTTATATGCTGAATGAGAGGCCGCTCCTCTCTTAAGGAGGCTTAAGGGGCAGCTTCCCCTGGGACTCTCAGCCCCTCCCCTCATCCTACTGAGCTGATAATACAACGCACAGAGCAGGGCTTGCCACGCACTTACATTCTTATGTCTCACTTTTCTCCACCTCTGGCCACCACTCTAGTGCCCAGCTTTTCCACCCTAGGGACAGCCCTCACCTCCACACAGGCCTCTGTGATTCACCTTGACCCAGGACAACCCATTCCCCACACACAACCGTAATGAAGCCGCTGTCCTGCTTAACCACCGCCCCCCAGGCTCCCCACTGCTCCAGGAGAAAGTCCCCTCTCTTCCAGGGAGCTGGCCGGGCCTTGGTAACCTGACCGCCACTGCCCTCTCCAGCTCAGCACCCCACGGTACAGTCACAGAGCCACATCCAACTCTGGCATCCAGACCACCCCATCCTGCCTGCTGGCTCTTCACCCAGCTCTTTTCCTGGCCACCTGTTGGTCATCCTCCAAGTCTCTCCTTAGACATCACTTCCTCTTCCCCAACTCTGTTTCCGGCCCAAATGAGGTGGCCAGCTTAGGGCTGTCCCAGTCCCCTGCACTCCCCACCACAGCCGGCTGGGTCATATCAGCTCAGTTATTTGTCTCCCCAGTTGCTCATTCGCTCACATCGTCCTGTTTTGTCTCCTAATTTGTTTGCTGACTGACACACACACACCCTGCAGCCACCTTGGGAGCAGGCCCTGATACATTCTCCGCGAATCCCCAGAGGCTATGACGGTATATGGGGCACATAAACAGCACTCGGGACGTTTGTTGGACAAATGAACAGAAACAGTCCTGCCAGCTAGTGATGATCAACTCATCTTACAGTTGAGGAAACCGAGGCTGCCTGAGGCTGAGTATGAGCAGCGGGAAGGGGGCAGTGCAGGGAAGGAGCCCAGGTCAGACTGACAGGGACCAAAGCCCTTTTGCCGCTCAGTGTGGTCCCTAGACCACACCGTCACTGGCCTCACCCAAGAGCGTGTTAGAAATGCAGAAGCTCGGCCCCACCCACACCTCCTGAATCAAAAAAAGCATTATAACAAGATCCTGGGTGATTTGAAGGCACATTGGAGTTTGATAAACATTGCCACCTCACTTCAAAGGGACAGCTGCTGGCCCCAGGAGGACAGGGTCCTGAAACCCTGCTTTCCCCAAAGGACGTGGGAGCCTCGGGAGTGGGAGGGCTGGGGCAGGTGGGGTGGCGGGGGGGATGGGCTGCAGGCGCAGACGCAGACCCCAGGGCCGCTGGGAAGCCCCGCCCCCCACCCACCTTTCGCTTTTGCTCCTCCTCCTCCTGCATCTTCAGCTGCAGCTTGCGCACCATCACCTGGCGCTTCCACTCGGGGATGGGCCGGCCCTGCTCGTCGTGCGTGGGGATGAGCGCCTCCACGTCCAGCTGCACGCCCGGCGCTGGGGTGGCCGGCGGCGCCGGCGCCAAGCTGCCGTTGAGCAGCGGCTGGAGGCCCGCTGCCGGCGGGGTGGGGCTCCGGGCCGGTGATGGCTCAGGCGACACCGGCGGCAGCGGCGAGTCTGGCTGAGGGGAGAAGCGGCGGGGCTGAGCGCCCGACGGGCTCGAGCGCAGGGAGCCGGGGCGGGGGCTCCTGTTGGGCCCGCCTACCTGGGAGGCCGGCTGCCCGCTGCCTGAGAACACTGTGGTCAGCCCCTTGCTCTGCGGCGTCGGCTTCAGGCTCTTGCCCGCCTTGATCTCAGCCAGTAGCTCTGAGTTGTCGCCCGTCGGGGACATCATGTTGAAAGACTTGGTGCCTAGGCAGAGGCAAGAGAGGAGGCGCTAGTCTGTGGCGGGGACACGTACCCGCCGCCCCCCACCCGTCCCTCTGCAGCCCTTCCCCAAGCCAGGACCGGCCGGTGCCCTCCCTTGGGCCCAGAGGGCAGCTCTTCAGATCCTGGTCCTCTGGGCAGCTTTCTGGGCCCCCAGAGCATCGCAGCCCCACCATCCTCCCAGCCCTACTCACAGGGTGTAGGGCCTCTGCCTGGAGGTCCCTGGGAGTTCATGGTGGCTCTTGGGCCAGCCCTGGGAACTCCAGCATATGTCTCCACCCAGCCACTGCCTGTCCAGCTCCAAAACACCACACTACCCGGGGCCAGCCACCCGACCTTTGTCCCGGGTTCCCTGGCTCAGCCCTGCTGGGGTGGAGTCTCCCTTTGGCCCCCTCCCTGCATCAGTAAAGCCCAGTGACCCTTGGACTGAGTGGATTGGGGCCTCTATGGCCATACAGAGTCAGGACCCTGGAGTGCCAGTGCCCAGCTGGCCGCCCCTCCCCACGCAGTGACGGACAGATGCGTGAGCAGACACACAGGTTGCAATCCAGGAGCACATTTATGGCAAAGCGCGGCTCAGCTCTGGGGGGACCCAGGAAAGCAGAGCCCTTACTAAGGCTATGGGGGGGTACCCAGGAAGAAGGACAGGCGGATAATATGCAAATGCCAGGCACAGACTTTGCATTTTCCGTCTTGGCTGGCGGAGGTGACTAGGGATTTGGGGAGGGATGACTTTTGAGATCTGAGGAAAGGGCCAGGTCTGGGAGCGAGAAACAAAATGGGCCAACAGCTCTTGGATTCCCAAGCTGGGGACCCCAGAGTGCAGTGACGGGGAGGGAAGAGCAGTGTGGCCAGCTCACTGATTGTAGGCAAAATCGGACCCAGGTGCAGGACGCTTGGGCACATATATGGATGTGTTGGGCATATGAGGATAGAGGGGTGCAAGGCCCCCCATGGCATCAAGGTCTCCTCGCCTGCCAGCCCCTGACCCTGCCCTTTCCTGAGTCCCAGCCCCTCTGCCTCGCTTCTCCTGCCGTCTCCCCCACCCTGTGCCTCAGCCTCAGCCAGGAGCAGCAGCTACTCACTCTTCCTGTGCCTCAGGACTCTCACTTCTAGGGACCGAGAGGAGAGAAGTGACAGTGAAGTTAGGAGGGAGAGAGGGCCGGGATGAGACTGGGACAGCAGGGGACAGTGAGAGAGAGCCAGGGAGGGCAGGAAGGGGAGGGGAGAGGAGGTGCTTTCCTGCCCATCTAGCCCTGGCTCAGGCTGCTCTGGGGCCCCACAGGGGTGATCTGTCCAGTTCCCAGTTTGGCTGGTGCCCCTGAGGGATGGGCAGGGACACCACTGGCCCTTGTCCCCCCAGCAAGGGCCTCTATCTTGGCACTGGGTTGGGATAGGGCACCCAGCCCAGGCTCTGCTGGGAGCGGGTATCTTGGGAAGCCCAGAGTCTACTCTTCTTCTGTTCCTAGCTTCAGCCCTGCGCAGGCTGCCGAGGGAAGAAGCTGACCCCAGAGCTGGGGATGGGGTGGGGGCTTTCTGAAGGCTCAGTTGTTAGTGGACATGCTACCATAGGGACGCCAGGGGACCTAGTCAGGGAGTTAAAGCTGTGGGTGGTGCCACTAAGCACGGTCTTTGCATTGAGTGGCTGAGAAAGGCACCATCACTGGGCTGGGAGCACTGGCACCCAGACACCAACTCCTGGGCCTTCCAGGAGGCCTGGCAGAGGGGACACTGCCCCATTTTACAGAAAAGCACAAGAATCCTGGTCACCTGTTTACCTATTTAAAAAGGATGCCTAGGGAAGTCACCAGGAGGAGGGAGGGGAAACCAAGATGGGTCACTAGCTTTGTCCCCAGGGCCAGGCCCCTGTCGGGATCTGGCTAGGAAGAGTCCCTGACATGTCTGAAAAGGGCTCAGGTCTGTGCTGCCTGGAAGGACCAGAGAAAGAGTTGGGGGGAGGAAGAGGGTCTCAGGATAGACCAGGGGCAGGAGAAAGGTTGGCCAGCAGCCCTGCCTTCTTGAAGCTAATTCTACTGCTTAGAGCTTCCCTCTAGCTCATCAGAGCACCAGCCCAGAGCTGGGGGCCTTCCCTAGCCAGTGGCAGGCAAGCCCAGAGATGGGAGGGGACTTGCTGCAGGTTACACAGCCCAGTTCTGCTCTGGCAGGATCGAAGCCACCCAGAGACTTCCCTCAGGGTCAAGTACTCAGTGGGGCAGGGGCTGGCAGGAAAGACAGGTAGGAAAGGAGGAAGGACCAGGGCAGTCTCAGCTGGGGAGGGGGCGGTGTCTAGATTGCCCTCCTCTTTCAGGGCTAGCGCCGCCCCCACCCCGCATCCCGCACTACTCACTGCCGGTGGACGACGAGGAGCGACGTTGCCCGCAGCCAGGGCCAGCGCCCTCGAAGGGCAGAGGCGGGGCAGGCGGCGGTGAGCTCAGGGCCTCAGGCAGGGGCGGCGGCGGCGGGGGTGGCGGCGGCAGCTCCCTGGACGCCTTGGGGTCCGCGGCGCAGCCGTTATGCACGGGGTTCCCGGGGAGCAGCGCCGCCTGCGGGGGAGCGGAGGCACCAGCGAGTGAGCCGCGGGCGGCAGGGCCGGGTCTCGGGCGGCCGGCGAGCGTGGGCTGGCGGGCACGCACCTCCTCGCTGTGCGCCATGCCGGGGCGAGCGGCCAGCGGCTCCCCGGGGCAGCGGCCCAGCTGGCGGTAGTAGTCCCCCGTGCTGGGCTGCTTGCTGAAGGCGCGGGGCTTGCGTCCGGAGTCCTGCCTCCGCAGCCCGTTGTGGCCGTCGCAGGAGCTTGGCTGTGGGAAGACAGCGGCCGCTGGGCTTCGGGCACTTGCCCCTAATGCCCCCACGACACCCGCCCCAACTCTTCACCTCCCCAGGGCTCGCGGCCAGGAGCCGTCGAGGGGTGCGGCCGGCCCCGTCGAACAGCCGTCCCCCCGGTTCTCAGAGCCGGCACGAGGGTGTAGGGCCTGGGTGGAAGGGCAGACTCGGCTACAGGGAGGGGTTCTGGGCGTGGGCCAAGGGGCACAGGGGCCCCCACTGAGGCCAGAAGGGGCGGGCTCAGGGGCGGGGTGGCCCAGCCCAGACGCCAGGGGGAGCCGGAGAAGGGGAACCTCCCAGCTTAGCCAGCGCCAGGGCCTCGGCTGCACCCGGCTCTTGGCTGCCGGACCAACACGGCGTCCCCAAGGCTCCGCCGAGTCCTGTCTCGCGGGGGTCCGGGCCCAGAGGAAGCCCTCTCAAGAGCCCGTGCCCGATTAGGCTCCCGCTTGCCCAGAGCCCCCAGCCTCCAGGCCCCGGGCTGCTCCTACCTGCGACTGTGCCGATGGCCCCCGCTGTGCACCTGCCGGCGGGGGCGGCACAGACCCGACACCTGCGCTACCTGATCCTTCCTCTCAGGTTACAGCCGGGCCCGTGCCCGCCCGCGCGTGGCGGGCCTATGGTCTCAGTCGGCCTGACATCACCTGGGGCCCGCCAATCCCAGGCCGAAACCCTCCAGCAGTCGGGGATGCCACACCTGGCCATTGCGCGGCGCCTGCCCCACCCGCCAGATGTGGTTCCGCCCCCTGCGCCTGTCCCTAAACTAGGTGCTGCACACCGCGACCTTCATCCCCCTACGCATCGCCGGAGACCAGACGAGAGCCTGACAGTGGGCAGTGGAACCTCTCATATTTGGCCCCCCGGTTCCGGGTCACGCCCCTGCCCTTCCCCTCCCGCATCTGGAAACCATCGCCATCCGCGAAAGCGACACCAACACCCGCGCCCAAGCCTCGGGTTTCAGGGGCCGCAAGGCGGGGTCGGGTGACAGCGCAACGTCCCGCCCCGTCGAGGCTGCCCCCTGCTGGGTCCGGCGCGGGGAGAGGGACGTGAGGTGGCTGGACCAAAGGCCAGTGACCAGGTGGGGGCTGGCCGGTGCTCCAGCCTCCAGTCCGTGCGTCCCCGCGGTGGCCTCGGACCCTCCGCGCCCCGCCTAAGCAGGCTCACGTTGCAGGAAACGCGACACCGCAGGATTTGTTTTCTGGGCCAGCCCGCCCCCTCGGCGCCCCCTGCAGCCCTGGAGGCTAGGACGCGGCGACCCTGCTCCTGCCGGGTCAGGCACCCGCGCTGGGGGCGCAGCGGACACACAAAAGGCTCTTTGTGGCTCGGCCCGGCGCCTGCGGACTGGCACGCATACACTAGGGAGGGGCGCGGGGACCGCGCAGTCCTAGCGCTTGGACTCAAGGGTGGAGAGGGGGCGCTGGCCGGGCCACCTGTCGTGTGGCTTTGGGCGGGGCCCACAGGCCAGGCTGGGAAAGTTGGTTATCCCAGGGCCCCTGTAGCCCTGCTTGCTCCAGCCCCAGCCGCCTCCCAGAGATGAAAGGGGAAGCCGCAGTGAGAGCTTGGTCTGAGATGGCATAAAGAGGGTGGCCGTTGGAGTCTCTGTGGAGGCTCAGTGTCCCTCCCAAAGCCTCCCCTGCCCAGTGGCCTTGTGACCTGAGTCACTTGTGCAGACTGGTTACTCAGCTCCTTGTTCCTGGGGTGGCTTGCCTTGGGCTTGAGAGAGAAATGCAAGGTCCCCGGCTCCATTAGGACCCTAGGGGGCTGCCACCCCTACTCCAGGCCACCTGCAGCCTCAGGCTGTCCCCTCACCTCTCAGACCAGCCTTGCTCTGTTCCTTTGGCCAGTATGCTGGGGGCCTCTCTGGGCCTCCTTGCCCAGGACTCCCAAGGTTGCCTAGACCAGACTACTGCTCTCCCCTGCTCCGGAGCCTCGGCCAGGAGCCTGCAGGCCCTGGATGTCCCCAGGCACCTCACACTCGTGCCCGCACTGGCCTAATCCCCTCCTCAAAGCTTGCTTTCCCCAGGGCTCCTGCCACGGCACTGCCCCCTCCAAGAGCTCCCACCACAAACGGGAGCCAGCCTCAGCGCCACCTCCCCCAGCCCCAGGGCCAGCAGGTGCCAAGTCCTGCTGGTGCTCTTTCACCCTTCCCCCACTGCCCCCTGGCCCTCGCTTCCACAGCCATGCCGCCAACACCTCCCACCTGGAAGACACCTCCCTTGGGTGCCATTCTCCACCTGAGCCCAGGGCTGCGTGGGTGTGTGCATGTCTGTGGAGGGGCAGTCAACATGCATTCTCTGTCAACTCCGTGGCAACCCTGCCGCTTTGTGCAAAAGTGGCACAGACCCAGCTTCTGGCAGGGCACAGCTGTGTGGGTATATGTCCCTTCACCCCCCAGCTCCCTGCTGAGGGCCATGGCTTTGTCTTACCCACCTCCCAGTCCCAGCACCCAGCCCCGAGCCCCCATGGGACTGGCCAAGAACTTCGACTCTTGAATGGGCCATGGGCCCCAGGCCCCTGCCCTGTGCCCACAGGTGAGGCCAGTCCTCTGGCCTCACCTGCCCTGTCCCCCGTCAGCCCAGACCCACTGCTGGGAGGCAGGCAGGGGCTGAGGGCTCACTACCTCCTTCTTGCTGGCCTCAGTGTCCACATGGCGGAGTTTGTTCTTGGTCTGCATATAGATGTCAGCTGCATGTAGCCCCACCGGGGGCTTGGGAGCTGGGTAGCCTGGAGGGGCCGGGGGCAGTTGGGTGCCCGGAGGTGGGGGTGGTGGAGGGAAGCTGGGTGGTGGTGGTGGCGGTATAGGTCTCCCCATCTTGCCCCGAGGCAGGCCCAGCTCAGGGTTCAGCATGTCCATGTAGCTCTGTATGTCTGCAGCTCTTGTGCCAGGAAGCCCTGGGGAGGCGGAAGGGAAGACCACGTGTGGGAGTTTGCAGAGAGGCTGTCCCCCAGGACTGACTCTCCACCACCTGGAAACTACTTGCCAAGGGGCAAGGTAGGCTCAAGGGCCCTACTTGGCGTGCCCACTGTGGCTCTGGCAGTGCCAGCCATTTCCCTCGGGCCTGCCCTTCCCAAGCCCTGCACTCTCTGGGGGAAGACCAGGCGCTCAGGTTTGGAGAGGAAGCACAGGGGGCTTTGGGCTCTGTCTAGAGGGCAGAGTCCCCTGGAGGGGAGGGGGCGGAGGGGAGGGTAGATCTGGCAGGGCAGGTGGCAAGAGCATGGATGGCCACACCCGATCTTTGCAAGGCACCCCTGCCAGCTCTGCAGGCCACCACCTGGCGGAGCAAAGCAGACATTGCAGGTGGATGGACACTCACGCTCAGGGCGTGGTCACCGTGTGTGTACATGCGTGCTTGGCTTCTGCCTGCATGTCTGTGCTTTTATGTATGTTTGAGTGTGTGCACATTTGTGCACATGCTTCTTTGTATTTATGAACATGTGTGCATTGGTCTGTGGATGTGGTGTGTGTGTGCGTTTCTGTAGTATGGCAATGGAACATCGTGTGCCTGTGTGTAAGGTAGGTTTGTGCATATATCTGCATGGCTCTGTATACACATTTATGTGCATTCATGTCTGTATGTTGTGTGTACACATGTACAAGTGTGCACTTTTGAGTGTGGATAGCTGAGAACAATGAATTGTGCACAGGGTTCATGTGGATTTTGTGGGACGGGAGTATGTGTAGACGTGCATGTATGTGTGTGATGGGCACACGCTCATCTCTCACTGCAAGGAGTGTCCCCTCCCAGTGTTTAAGACTGCAGGCGATGATGTGGCCTCCAGGCTCAGGGGCCTAGCGGTCTGGGTGCAGTCTCTCCTTCCTCCCCCTTCCCGGCCCGGCCCACTCACCACGTGGAGGGTGCTGGCCCTTGATGCTCGAGTGGCTGGATGAGCAGGAGTCATAGTTGGAGAGGGTGCTTGTGGGCGAGCTGAGGTCAAAATTCAGTGGCTGGACAGACATGGTGGTGTTGGGCGAAGACATGCCAGAGTCGGGCTGCTTTGCCTCCAGCTCCGCAGATGGGTCCCGGGACAGCACGCGGTGCTCCACGCTCTGAAGGCAGGGAGGCCGTGAGGTAAGCCCACCCTGAAGACCAGCTGCTTTCTAGGCCAGAGTCCTGCTCAGGCGTGCCCTTGCTGCGGGACCTTGGTCAAGTTGCTTTGCTTTCTGGGCTCCTCTCATCGTCACGAGAGGGTCTCTCAGACTCTTCCCAGACTGAGATTCAAGCCTAACCCCCTGGGTGGCGTGATCGGGGTTCCGGGAAACTCCCTCCCCAGCTCCTCCCTGCCCAGGGGGTGGAGGGACTGACAGAGGAAGGTGCCCTGGGCTATATACCCCTAGGGGAGGAGTGCCAGGGGACCAGCCTTCTCCCTCCTGTCGGTGGGCACAGGGCCTGGGCTGCAGTGTCTCTGTGGGGAGGGGTACAGCCACGTCCTTCCTCCATCACCTGGCTGGCCACCCCTGTCTCTCCTCGCCCAACCTGGGACAGCTCCCAGCTCTGGCCTGGCCTGTGTCCGGATGGGGCCCTTTGAGAAAGGGTGGGGCCTGGGGTGGCCCAGCTAAGCTGGGATGGGCGGCCTGACCTCAGGCTCCCAAACCTGTCATCCCCACGTCCGCCCATCCCATCCCTGCCCATGCCTCTGACGGCAGGCCTGTCCCCTCCCTGCATGGCAGCAGACTGGTGTGGGGGCCCTGCTTACGTTGCCCATGCTGTCCCTGCTGCCGGCAAGCCCGCTTGCTGCACTGCTTCCTGCCCAGGCCTGCTCCTTCCGGCCCTGTGCCCCCTCCCTGCCTAAGAAGTGTCACAGGCCCCCTGGGAGAGAGAGGCAGGCCTGGCACCAGGTAACGGCTCAGCAGCCACGCTCATTGGCCCCGTAATTAGGGGCTCTGGGGGAGTGTTTGCCTTTTCTGGGCCAACATCTTCCGTGGCTTGGATCTGTCACTGCTGCAGCTGGGCCCGCCTGGGTAGGGGGACCAGGGCTCCCACAC